CACCTACTCAGGGTTCTCCCCCCAACAGTACCTATCCTTACTATAGAGAAGGAACAGCAGTGTCCCCAGCTGGAACACCTACCCATTCTGTTCCAGCTCAACCAGGTCAGCCCCATGAGACAGAAGCAGGAAGTGAGCTCACAAGCCCAGCACTCAGAGGAGCCTGACCTTCTCTGACGATGCTCTCCTGGGTGTCAGCACAAGGAGGGCATCCTGGCCCCACAGCAGGGCCAGTGGGCCAGGGAGCAGGAAGCTCAGCCTTGATAACTTTGTGGAGTATTGAGTCTCACAGATTTGTCATTCAATGCACAGCTTCTCTCTGCACAGCCCACACAGCTAATCCCTGTACTATATTTCTCTCAGTTTTCCCTCCTCCACCCACACTTCTGCTGACTTCTCTCTGCACAGGAGAGACAGAGCAGCTGAGGAAACAGCAGAGCAATGGAAATTTTCTGAAAGTGTTTTGAGCCCACCTAACCTGAGGAGAGCATTCAAAGAAAAACAGGAAGAGGGTGAGAAGGAGCTCTCTCAGCCCCTGGCACACAAGCCAGGGATTGTCACTTCCACCCACCTCCAGTCCCAGCAGGAGCTGGGACCAAGCCTTGGTGCCCACAAGTAAAAATATGCAAATTTTTGTGAGGATTATGGAATGGAGGCAATTGCTCAGCTATTCCAGACACTGCATCACAGAACTTGGGAGCACAGTAGGTTGATTCCATTCAAACACCTACCATGAAGAGTTAAACCAACACCTTTGGTCTTAAACTAGAATATCCGGTGGTCATCATACTGGGAGAATGAATGCAGGTCTGAAAATGGATGTGATTCCTTGTAGCAAACAAAATTCAAGTCCCCAGTCTACAGGACAATCAACACCCTCCCTCCTCGAGTGTATGCACAATATTTAATATTACTCATTTTTTCCTCCCTTTTTTCATTTCCTTTCAACTTCTCTTCCTACACCAAACCAAAGCTTTTAAGGCTACTTGGTTTTTTCAGATATTGGGGATGGAAAGGAGATTGGAGCTCATTTAATATCTCCTCTCTCTCTCTCTCTCTCTCTCTCTCTCTCTCTCTCTCTCTCTCGATTCTAGCCAGTTAGATTCCTTGAAGTGGACAAGGACAAAAGGTGACTGGCTAATCTCATCCATTCACTCATTCATTTAACAGACCTTTACTGAGTACACAGGTAAGCTCTCCATCATTACTCACTTTATGGTCAAAGCACAATAGAACTGAGCCACACCTAAAAGAAGTAATCTTTGATCTGCTTTACTCCCCTTCAGTGCCTTCAGGATCAATTATTGGTTCTAGTTTAGAATAGGGTTTTCCACAGAACCCAGAACTCTTATAAAGGTTGTATAACCAATGAATAAATGGGAGTATAAATGTTCTTCTCTCTAACTGGTCCATAGGAAGGTTTCCAGCCCACAGATTCATCCTACCTCAATGTTAAGTATCCAAGCACTAAAATTAACACATGCACCATTCTTCACTCTGTTGGCACAATTTTTTAAAAATTATCCTCAAAACTGATCTAACTTTTCTTATGGTGAGTACTGCATGTTTGATACTTATCCATTCAAGTAACATATATTCACTGAGTAGCCATTGTATGCTAGGGACTATCTCAGACACGGAGACAGCAATTCTACATAATGATCCCTACAGAAGCCAACAAATGAGTAGACTCAGACGATTCTTGCTTGCTGCTCTTACCAAGAGAAACTAACTTTAATCACTGGCTGCTGGGCAAAAAACCAAAGTAATAAATGTGGTTCTAATACAATGGAAGAAAAGTAGGAATTGTTTCCACTTGTTGACTAGAAGTAATCAAATTTTGTGGGGGTTTTTAATCAATTCTACTGTCTGATAGTTCTCCATATCTGACATCTTACAGAGTAAGCTATACAGAATGTAGCTAGTTAATATTTTAGAGAGTTTTAAAGCACCAGACCCTGAAAGGATGTTTTAAGTTAGTTAAGAGAACCAAATGGTAAGAAGACCTAAGCCACATGGCTACTTCCAAAGAGCAGAATTTTCTCCCTCTTGAACTTGTGGATTAGAGAACCAAAAGATACAAATGGGGCTTTGCAGTTCTTTATGTCTGAGGTTAAGGATGAATTGTGTTATAGTCTATTGAGGTCATCCTGAGCTATGGGACATTGAAGTTTGCATTGATGACGGATGGCTCTCATGGGGTGGATCACCAATAGACTTGGCAGATAAACAGGGTAGTAATTTGTGTCCAAGAAAATTTTGCTTGCTCCAATAATATATCTATTGTCAGACTTAGCAGGGATCCAGAGGCCACAAACTCATCCATGGGCTGTGAACTGGACATACCATTGTACCTCCTGGCCCTGCAGGGTATTTGATAAGCTAGTTGGGAAACAGCTCCATCTCCAACACAGCTCCAAACTACCAACAGGGCTCTACATGTGGACTTTTCCCTTCACTGTTACCCTTGCTGGACTATTTCTACTTGATGACAAAGAACTTCTGTATTGTTTTAACTCCACTACAATCTTCTACTTATCCATTCCCCTATATGCTTTCTTGCAACAAGAAAAATTAAAATGAACTCATGAGGAAAGTCCCAAATAGAATAAACTAGTGATAAGTTTTCGGTTTCTGTAAGACTACTTTGGTTTTGATGAGCTTGATAGATGGCCATTTTTTTTCCCCTACAAATTGGTCTCTGGCTTTGATATAGGGATTTGTTTGGAATCCATTATTGATATCAAGTGAACTCTATCCTAAAAAATTATTTTGAAGGCCCACAATGATCAGGCAAAGAGAAAATATTAATTTAAAGAGATTTGAGTGGTGGTGCATTCGCTTTTCATGTCTGTGTTTTTCAAGTGACACAATAACTCCCAGTCGTCAGGCTGTGGAAGGTTTACTCAGCGTAAAGACAAGGGTTTTTTAAGTAGTGGAAAGAATAAGACTTTGGATTGAATTCTGACCCTAAACTCTCACTCCACCATCCTTAGGCCAAATCACTTAAACAGTCTGAGGTTGATTTAACGGAGATCACTACCTACCTACCTCATAGAATTGTTGAGAGGTTAAATGAGAGGAACTGGGTAATTCCAGGCCTGCTAAAGGCCCTCAATGGACACTGTTTCCTCTTCTGCCTCCCCTCTTCCTTCTCCCTGTACCCACTTTTATGCAATGACAACTCAGTCACAGTTCCCTCTGGGAGAAGGCTACGGGGCTCAAGGTTTCCAGATTTCAGCTGAATTAAGCATCTAACTATGGTGATGGGATGTGTGCAATGCCAGCTGGGGCCTGATGCCATAATGGAGAGAAGGCATTTCAGAGCACTCCTTAACAGTCTGATCTTGCCTTAGAGAGAAATGGTTTTCCTCACTGATGGCCCCAAGACCAGGGCACTTCCAAGACAGTATTCTCATAGCACCAAGGGAGCTTCAAAGGTAAGGTGCAGACTTCCCTGCATGACATCAGACAGGGGTTAGCAGCTGGGACTTTGACATCTGACAAAATGGGGTTGGGATCAGGATTGCCACTTGAGAGCCAAGCAGCCTCTTCAGTATTCATCTTAGTGTTCCTGTTAGGATTAAGTGCGGCCACATGCATACAGCACTCACAGTGCTGAGAATAGAGGGTGCTGGGGACAGGCCATCTGTCCTCTCTCCCTCTGACCTGCCCAGCACCACCTCCCAGCAGCTTGCTGGCTCTAAGCCTGCCTTCCAGCCATGGGCACAGGAGCAGAGAAGTTGTTTCTTGCACATTTGCTGTGTTCTCACTTCTACTAAAATACCTACTCCCCAGCCAAGCCCAGTGCATCCTCTGATCATTATTTTTTGGAGCCTGTCTTCTCTGTGAGAGAAACTACGATTACTGCTCAGTCACATGACTAAATAGTTGTTGATTGATCCTGCTGATAATCAAGAGCTTAAATAATACACTTTATTAAAAAGCTGTCTAGTTTTATACCATTATTCTAGTTTCTGTATCCTACCAAAATACTTTATCTCAGTAAATTTGGCTAAAAAGAAAAACTAAACCAATAGTGGTGGCACATGCCTGTAATCCCAGTACTAGGAGGCTGAGGCAAGAAGATCACAATTCAAGCCCAGCCTGGGCAACTTAGTGAGACCTGTCTCAAAATAAAAATATAAATAAGGTCTGGGGATGTAACTCAGTGTGAAGGCCCTGGAATTAACCCCCAGTACTGCGTCCCCAAAAGAGAAAAACTAAAAATTCCCCTGATCAAAATATGAATATTAATAATAATCTGAATGTTCATCAAAGTATGTGAAGGTGCTTGATAGCCAGGACTTCGGAGGTTAAGAAAACACCACCTTGGCCTCAGTGGTTCCAGCGCCTGCCTTGCAAGCACAAGGTCCTGAGTTTGATCCTTGTTACCAAAAAAAAAAAAGAAAACACCACCTTGTAAGTGAGCAAATTTGTACCAAATGCTTAGTGGATATACATCCCTTTATTGATAAATTTTAGTTTCATCATTTCAGTGAGAGAGCTTCATATTTCTTTTTTGCTAGAAGAATCTCTAGATCCTTCCTGCTCTTGGAGAGGCTGGGTAGGTATGTCTCTGCTCCTATATACATATGTAATTAGCACCTTCATTACTGATATAGCACTGGCGCACTCAGACTTACATTATACACATGCTCACTATTAGTGTCCTGAGATAGGTGGCACCTATTTTGATAGAGTTAGTGCATAAAATATGAATAATCCTATCTAATGACTCAAATTAAATATACCACAAGGGATGCTCTACTTCATTGAAATTTGCATACATTTTTCTTACAAGGGAGTTACTATTCTGCATGGCAGCGTGGGGTTTGTCACAAAGGTGGAGCTCATTGATGAACAGCAGTAGAGCTGCAAATCAAGTCAATAGCATCATGAGCTCAGCAGTACTTGAGAGATGCTTTCTTTGCTTGGTGAGCAGAAGATCAGGGTTAGCTAGGGCCAGAGCTCCATTCTCTCCACGGACAGGTGCTTACCTAAGGCCTTCACCCTCTGGAGAGTGCTGTCTACAGTACTCCAGAGTGTAGGACTCTGTAGTCTCCAGGTTGACAGGTCGCCATCGGATGGTGGCCACATTCCAACACACGGTACAGTCCTCAGCCCGAAATACAGGGGTTGAGGGGGCTGCAGAGAAAGAAGTAAGTCTGTCTAGAGCAATGCCAAGTATGCTTCCCTGGCACCTGGGAAGGATGCTTAGGCATGATTTTATTTTTAATTTCTTATCAGAAAATTCATTCCGGGTTGAAAACGCAAAAGAAATTAAAATTTATATAGTAAAAAGTCTCCCTCCCTCTGCTTTCCAAATTGTCAATTCTCACCCATCCTCTAATACCCTCTAAAATTAGCTTCCTATAAATCCCACCTGAGTCTCTTTACACATATACTGTATAAGCAAACAAAAGGAAAGATTCTTGCCCTTCCCCCTTCACACGAAAGATAGCCAAGATCTTTGCCTCAGTAGGCCCTCAATAAAGACGTCTTTTAAAAGACAAGAAGAAAGGATTAAGGGCTAGAGGGCAGGGGTAAGCTATTTTCTTCCCCTGAGGCAGCTGCAGAGAGTTTACAGGCAATGCAGGCTTGTCAATACCACACCTCGCTTCACCTTGAGAAAATATTTCAAACATAAAATAGCATTCCCATTGAACACCATGACTTAAAACTTTCTGGGATCTCCTGGCACCCATGGCACGAAGCCCAGGATTCTTACTTTACAAACACAGCATCTTCGTGCCAGCCTTTCTCACTTCATGTCTTTCCCTATTTTTAAGTCTAAGATCCTGCCTGCCCCCACTGTCTTGAGAAGCCCTCGATGCATATGTGGATCGTGGCCCTTCCAAACATTCTTATGATCTTCTCTTTTTCTATCTCCCCCACTTGACTCTGAGCGTCTTGCAAACAAGAACTCAGTCTTATTTGTTGTTGTATAGTCGGCACTTTGCCCAACCCCCAGCATATAATAGATGCTTTGTACTTCCTGGTTGGCCTCAAGAGTTTGTAAAGAATTGAGTATTGCCTCCTAAGGTCCCCTTAACATCTTCTTACCTGTTCTAAAAATTGCCCTTTCACTGGGCAGGCTGCATCCTGTGAAGTTCACGGCCATTACCCACACTTGATAGCATCTGTCAGGTTCCAAGTCCTCAAAAATGCAGTAGCTTTCTTTCACTGTCAATCTGTATTCTTCTACCAGCTCTAGAATAAAGTCCAATCAGAAACTCTAAGATGTCTTCCAAAGTTAACTGTAAGTTATAGCTACTGAAAAAAAGTAATGTATGATTTTTTCAGTGGAGTACCAAACTGATAACCTTACAGGTATCATTATGTGATAACTAGCTCTTCAGAATACATAAGGCAATAGCATTAAGTGACAGAATGATGTAGTATTACTTGCGAGCACTTATCAGAAAATAATAGCATATTAGTAAGATTCTGAGCTTCATATACCACAAATAAAGTAACTTATTTTAATAGCAGTTATTAAAATTGCATAGTTTATGTTAGCTTAAATCTTAGTAATACATTCTCAAGAAAATTTTTCAGAATCAATGCATAAAAAAGAACAACCCTACATTTTCTAAACTTATGGTGTTTCAAAGCAGCTTTATAGATTAGCAAACAATTTTGGTATCCAATATGACTTTCCAAGTTTCAATTCCTAGTTTCTTCTCATGAAATCCAGAATTCTCAGCTAGATACTTCTACCTTTTATGGGAATACTAAATAACTTAATGGGTCTTACACTGTTCTAGGAAGTAACTTTGTCCAACCAAGACATGTTCCTTTTAAAATTTCTTAAATTACTTTCACTACTTTTTCTTTTTTAGTAAATACTACTCAATACCATTCTGAATGCAGACCCGATTGGGCCAATCTGATTATTCTTACTGTAATTCTTTCATTTAAAAGAAATGATTTTGGGGGCTGGGGATGTAGCTTAGTGGTTGAATGCTTTCTTAGCACATATGAAGCCCTGGGTTTAATCCCCAGTACTGCAAATAGTAAAAATAATAATAATAACAACAACAATAATATTCCTTTTTAAATTAGCCTATGGTAATTTCAGTTATCTTCCCTTATTACTCCTGAATGTCATATCTTCAAAATTTCCCCAGATGAGGGGGTTGGGAGTGTAGCTCAGTGGTAGAATACTTGCCCAGCCTGCATGAATCCTGCATAGAAAAAATAAATAAATAAAAGTTTCCAGTAAAGAATACAGATTGATTTTTATAAAAAAAGAATTAAGGAGCTAGCAGAGGTCTCTTCAATTACCTCTCTTTTCCAATGAGCTATATAGTTCAAAAGAAATGGTTCAGTTTAAAGAATGTGCTAAGGACAAATATACTAAAAACCATTTCTCCCATGCCTGACCACAGTTTCACTGGACTCGCTCCTTCAGGCCCTGGTAAAGGCCCACATGACACATGCTACTGCAGACCTTACCCACACAGCACCAGCTCACAGTACAGATCTCAGACTCATCTGCAAGGTCCAAGGCCCTGAGCCAATGAGACACAGGACAGGGCAGTGTTGGGGTGGGGGTTGGCTGGAGATGAAGCACATAAACAAAGGGCTCCAAACCAGACATGGTGGATCATACCTGCAATCCCAGCTACTCAGGAGACTGAGGCAGGAGAACAAGTCCAAAGCCAGCCCGGGCAACTTATTGAGATCCTGTCTAAATAAAAAGGCCTGGGGTTGTACCTCACTGGCACAGCACTTATGTAGCAAGACCTTGGGTTCAATCTCTAGTACCGCGCACAGGCACAAAGCACCCCACATAGGACTATTTGTTAAGAGGAGTTTTGAAGTGGCACGGAGTTTCATGATATAGCATTCTATCAGAGGAAATGTAGTGCGGTGTAACAAAATAAATACAGAGATGAATAAATATAACTTATGCTTGTGAGTCTGAAAGATCTGTGTTTGAATACTGGCCCCATGTACAAGTTGTGTGACCTTGGACAAACTACATGATCTCCTCTCCTCATTTGCTAAGGGGATACAACACTTAATGCTGCTGTGTTGTGACAGAGATACAGTGACAGATCCTCATTAAACAGGAGACTTTATAGAGAGACTCAGCCAACTTTACACTGTGCCTGAGGCAGGAAGGTAGGAGGTGGCAAAGCTGGCTGGGAGGAGTAAGCAGAACCTGTAATCACAAGATCCTAGGCAGATGCCACAAAGAGCTCACTATCGTGTCTCTTCTCGATAGCCTGCCCTGGGTACCCCAGGGTGTACTTTTATTTTTTGCTTTTAAGGTCTCCTCTCTTTTGTTTGGGCCAAGTTTGCTTTGTACAGCCAGTTTCTCCCTTACCATCCACCCTCACTTTTTCAAATAAACTTTGTCACTGTTTTTGCTTGTCTTGTCCAATTCTTTATTGGAGATCCGTAGGACCTGGAAACTATGAGGCAAGCACCCTAAAAACCTGATAACTAAATTTGGTGAGCCATTTCTAAAAGAAGCTACACAATTACATGCCTACAGTTACTTTTGCTTTTTCTGTGCTTTTTTTCTAAATGAATTATCACATTGTATTTCAAAAAACTTAAATCTTAGCAAGAGTGAAATATGTTACAATTCACCCCTCATTACAAATCGGGCTCCCAAGTTTTGTAATACGGTGCCAGTCCTGTGGGTCTCTCTTCAGCAAGCAATGCAGATTGCCAGCTCTTCCTGCTCTGAGTCATCAGGAAGGACAACCTCAACTGCCTGGCTGCTAGGCCTTATTAGCAGTGATGCTGGGCAGAGATTTCCACAGAGGCTCAGTGTAAGACCTGCCATCCTCTCCCCTCACTAAGCCCTTCCACTTCTAGCCACACAGCAACCTGGAGCACTGAGAGACCACACCATACCTGGGCCCATGCCTTGAGATTGTGGACACTGACTTAATTTTTAAGGGTCTTTTGTGTTTTTTATCAAAGGTAGATCTGAGAATTGGCCAACTATGACATTCAGGGCTACATTTGTACTAAAATTACTATGGAGTACACTACCCTGTATACAGCTCATTTCTCCTCTACAAAGTATGACACACTACACTCATCTTTCAGATGTTAGTGCTGATTAAAACTTTGCTCTCTTTGATACTCTGGTATGTTACCTCCTCGGTGAAAACGAGATTCAATTACTCCTGTTTTTCTGAGAGCTCAAAGTCAAATTTAAATCTGTTATAATATTCATGTTGACCATTATAATGATATTTATGGGGTTTTTTGATTTTTTTTTTTTTTTTTTTGGTACCAGGGATCGAACATGGGACCTTGTGCTTGCAAGGCAGGCACTGGAACCACTGAGCTAAATCCCCGGCCCCTATATTTATGTGTTTTTGTTTTCCTTGATCTTGATTTCCAAGTACTGCTTTGCTGTTTTGATTTTATTATGTAGTTGTTGAGTTTTCGTTGTTGTTTTGTAAGTAGCTATAAATGCCTTATAGAAAGAGTTATAATATACATATATTTAAATACTTTACATTCAGATACAGACATATGCACCTTCATCTGTATTTGGATTAGCAAACCTACCATTTACTTCTTGGTCATCCTGTGGCTCCTCCATGCAATAAACCTGGAAAGAATCAATGACATCTTCTTTGTTCATGCTCCAGTAAACTGCAATTGTTGTGCTTGTGGCCGAATTTGGTTCCTGAGGCTCAAGCCTTGGAGGCTGTGGAACTGGAATATAAGCATAATTTACTATAACTAATGCTGCTTTTATTTATTTGTTGTTTTGCAAAAGTTACTTACATTGCTGGAATACAATTCAAACAATACCAAAATAAAAGGAGTAAAAGTACAGGGACTCCCTGTTTCCAGCTCCAACCCCAATTTCATTCTTTGGCTGTGATTATTGTTGCAGTTGTGCATGTATTCTTCCAGAATGTTTCTTGTGCGATTTTATATGTGCACATGTCATACAAGTAGAAATAGACAAAAATGGCTCCCAAATTGGGATCACTTGATAGTACTCTTCTTAGAGTACTTCCTTTACTTACAGCAATACATTTATACAGGTTAGAAGATGTATCAAATGACTTGGTTCTCCTTCAAAACAAAAAGAAACCTTTTGAGCATACTTTGCTAGATAACCATTGCTGTACTGTCGTGTATCAAGATAGAGCCTATATGGTATTGACAGTAGAGACCAATGAAACCCTTTTTAGATATAGTTGTGAAATCAAGGCTGGAAAAGACATGCACAAATCAAACATTAAAATACACTTTCTCAAACTTCTGAAACTATTATTCTGTTTTCTCTTTTCAACATGGCTATGCTTACAGATTTAAATCTATATATAATATATATTACCTGGGAGAAAAGAGTACCCTATTAATTGAATCATATATAAGATTTAGACATCTAGTATAAAAACTCTACTGTTCTGAATTTTACAGGTAATAATGTTCTCAGTGTTTTACAAGGGTTTTTTAGTTTACAATTTTGCATATTCAATATTGATGGTATACACAACACTACAAATCAGTGCTCTGTGTGATTCTCTTCTAAAATTTATTATACAAAATCATTGACCATATTTTATAAGTTAAAGGAAAAGGTTATTCCCACAGTTGAGAAGATATCATGTTTTAAAATTTTTTTATGTGTGGCTAATTTTTCCCTAGGCAACAATTTCCTGAGAGATACAGTAAGCTTACTGAAATAAATATGGGCCACATTTTATGAGATAACTTTATTCAGTGTTGACATGAGAAGAAAAAAACAAAGGTTAGTTTGACAAGAAGGTAAAAATGAGAAAAAATGGATTTAAAGAATGAACCAAAGAGACAAATTTTTAAAATTCAATAAAAATTTTAAAAAGTTGAAAAAATAGAGTTATGAAAAGCAAAAAGTGGGATAGGAGAATGGTCATGTTCATGAACTTCAGAGCAGAGAGTCTGGCCCAAGCTTAGTGTTAGAGCCCCCATTTACTAGCTGTATTATCTTAGCCTCAGTTTCCCCATCTTGACAACAGGTAAGCAGTAATAAATAATATATTACTTCCCAGGGTTGTTAGAAGAAGCAAGAAAGTGTATGTCAAGTGCTTAACAAAAGTGCCTAACATATACCAGTAGTAAAACTCAGGAGTGATGGCATTGGAAGGGACCAAGCAAATGAAGGGGAGAGGCAGTAGACTCCCAGAGGTGCAGCTGAGCAAGAGACCCAGCATCTGCCAGATCACAGAGGCCACAAAGAAAAGACATGCCGAGCAGGCTGCACTGAAGCCCTTTCCCCAAGGACTGACCATGGGTGAGGCCCTATGCTGCCTTTGACTCTACTGTCTTCCCCACAGGAAAGGAGTATCACCTTCTAAAGACTCCATCCAGGTAGATGAGGTTCAGTAAATTTTCACATGAAGAGCAAACTAGAATGTTTCGATCATTGTTAGTTGTTTTGGGAAAAGTGTTAGAGAACTCCTTAAGGCAAAAAAAATGTCTTTTTTTTTTCTCCTATGAATTGTACGTTGAGCTGTATCTGCTTTTTAAACATTGCTGTTCTGTATCTCTCTGCCTCTCTCTCTCTCTGTTTCTCTCTCTTTCTCAACTTAAACTTAAAGATTCATAATTGACCTTCCCCATAACTTAATGTTAAGGAAGAAGCACACGTAGGCAATTAAGTAAAGCACATATGCTAAACATAATTTTGTTCCTAACATGCTCCTTCCACTCAAAGAATCGAAGTTAAACATCTTTTTTTTTTTTCAAAAACAGGAAGTGCTGTCTCTTTGAAGTATTCTAAAAAGAAACAGGGTACAAGAACAGTCCATAGATGTAATCTAAAAGATGATGGCTGGGTTTACAGTTCCTATGTAGCAGAAGATCAGATGCCCAGTTTTTATACATTAGCAATTCTGTGTAAACAGATTAGTGATAAACTTGAATAAGTATGATGCCAAAAGAAAGGAAAAAATCATTTAGAAGTTCTTACTAGAGGCAAAGGTGTGGATAGAGGAGTCCCCCTTGCGTTCCTGCTAACTGGTGAGCAATGCCCATGAAGAGCTGTCACACACAGGGAGCTAAGCTTTCATCAGCTGCAACTTCAGCACCTATGGCCAGACATAGGTTTCCACTCAATCTAGCTTTCAGAAAGTCCCCAGGAGAGCAGCATAATTCAAAAGTGCCAAAAGGTAGAAGCAACCCAGGTGTCCAATGGATGGATGAGAAAAATGTGGTACGCACATTTGAAGGAGTATTACAAATTCAATATTAAAAAGAAAGGAAATTCTGACACATGCTACAACATGAACAAACACTGAGGAAAATATGCTAAGTAAAATGAGCTGGTTACAAAAAGAAAAACAATGTATGGTTTCACTTAGTAAATACCTAGAGTAGTCAAATTAATAGAAAGTAGAATGGTGATTTCCAGGGCTGGGGGTGTGAGGTGGGAGAACAGACAGTTACTGTTTAATGGGTATAGAGCATCAGTTTTGGAAGATGAGGAGTTCTGGATATAGATGGGGTAGTTGTACAACAGTATGAACGTCTTAAAGCCACTGACTTATATTAGCCATTTAAGATGGTTAAGATGGTATTGTGTTGTGTATTTCACTACAGATTTTTTTAAAGAATTCCTAGGGGGTAGAGTCAAAGAACCCCAGCTACCACTAATCCACATTTATCTCATCTTCCACAACAGTGTGCTCCCCCTCTTTGTCATAAGGCAAAGGTCTTAAAGCCAACCCCCCAATATTCCTTCAAACAAGCTGTGTAGTCTGTAGCAGTAAGACATGTTTTTGTTCCTCTTTTCCCTCATATATTCCATTGGGAATAAGAACAAAACCCACATCCTGGAGTTGCAAGATCAAACATCTGGATATATTAGGCCTCGTGTGAAGATGATGAACCCAAGGCAGCCACTGCTGTTCACCACAGGAACCTGCACCCTCCCTTCATGCTGTCTGCTTGACTTAGGTATGGAGTCACTGGACCCACTCCTCAAGGACCAGGTGAGGATTCCACAGAGGTACCACTGGTCACAGAGCAATGCTGTTGGGCTCCCACTCTGTGTCCCTCTGATACCAGGTAACCCCGAGCCTTCAGGGCTACACATGCACTTTCATAATTCACTGTTAACCCTTTCTGACAATTTAACTCTGTGGCCTCTGAAATGTGTAAAATGTCCTCTCATTGCCTGCCAGGTATTTGAAAGTATATCCTTCTAAATGAACAGCAGCAGGTAATAGATCCATTAAAAGAAGATCTGCTCTGTTAATAAGAATTTCTTAGTTTGTGATTGCTAACCAGTTTAATGCCTCCTGAAGATGTTACAAGAAAACAACCTTTTGTTTTGAGACATTTATAAACAAAATCCACTAGGATAAGTGACAGAATTTTTCATTTTACAAAGGGTTGTTGGGGTACTGGATTTTTGCGGGACTTTTTTAAAGGGGGGTTGGATTTTTTTTGTCTTTTTAAAGACATAGTAACCTTTTATTAGTTGCTTCCTAAAGAAATAAAATGTAGTTGTCAATGTAAACACAACTGCTGTCTTTAAGTAATTTTGGAAGAACATAGCATCTTTTGAAGAGGACAACTGATCACAATGTACAGTAGGTAAAACTCAGTAACTTGAAACACAGCAGTTTAAAAAATCTAAGTAAGTTTTATTGCCTTGTTTGTTAAAATAGCACATTAAAAAATATTTTGAAGAGCTGGCAGGATGCTTTTGACAGCTGAGTGGGAGGCTCCTGGCTACAGACTGTGATGCTGAGCTGTAGTTCTCCAAGATAATGTTTGGTTTGAAAAAGGGAAAAAGAGTTGAAATGAAGAGAGGAAAGCTACTCATAAGGAAAAATCAGTTCAACATCATGAAAATATTCGATTCCTCTTTCCTTATATACCTAGCTGTTGATAGAAGTAAATAATTCTTTTACACAGAGAGAAAAAAAGAAATATTATTTTGAAAAATGAGCGAGGAGAAGGGAGGAGAAGGACCCATTGGTTCCCTGGTGCCTTCCTCCTTTCTCCTCCAACCCCAGTACAGCCAAGAAGTTCCAAATGGAAATGCAGTTTATCACTGAAAAGGTTTGCTGACCTCATGCTTTAAAATTTTACAACCAGCACTTTCTTCTTCCAATTATAGAAACTTTATAAAAACAAATGAAAGCTGCCAAATTTCATCAAGGTAATTAATAGATTAAAATGCTTACCAGCCACTTGCTTTAGCATCTGGTCACTTCCAGCTGAGGTGTCATCGTAATGTTCAAACAGGGAGAAGGCAGCTGGCATGTGCTCTAGCGAAGCCGTGCTCGCCATGGCAGAGAGCAACCTATGGGAGCAGATTGCCAGTAAGTCAGAGTATTAACAACAGAAGAGAAGCAGAAAGCAACTGTCCAAAATGAAGCAGGTCTCAGTAGTAGTGGTTTTTATGACGTAAGGTCCACACTGTATCCAGAAAGGATTTAAATTACTTTGGGAGTCCAAAAGTACAGTTTGTCTAATGTCTAGGCACTCTTTGGCTTCCTACGCAATTGGTAATATTGAAAATTTTATTTCTATATCCTCAAATTTGAAAAAAGTTTAACAAATTATGCAGTCTTAAATTTTTTTCTATAAAGTTAGTTCTAAAAATTACTTTATTTCAATGATTCCAGTGTTTTTATTTTTTTAAATTAATTTTATTGGTACATTTTATTGGTACATTTTAGGTATACAATTCGTTTACATTTATCATTGGGTGTTTGTACCTGTACGTGATGTATCTTGGTTCTTATTTTTTTCCCCATTACCTGTGCACACTTCACCCCCTCTGCCCTTCCCTATTTACATAGATTTCATTTCCATTTTTTTTCTTTTCTCATAGTTTTTCCTTTCCCTCTTTTCCTTTCCCCTTCCCCTCCCTTCACTCTCCAGTGTTTTTTTAATTTCCTAAAGGATATACATTTTCAGAACTCATTTGGAGATTCACATGCTGTAGGAGACCCTTACTGTTCTCACACCTCAATCCCAAGCTTCCAGTCATTTAATCATTCCCAAAACAGCCCTCACCTAAAGTGTGCCCAGTGCTGGACCAGGTATAGGGTTATATCAGTGGAAGAGGGCAAGGCCTACCATCCTTAAAAAACTAAAAAAATACAGTTTATAAATTAATAGCTTTTGGAGACTCAAGCCCCTTCTAGGATGAATGGCAATGGATGCTTGTAACATTTGTATCAAGGTAAAATACGGATTTTAAAAAACAAAGGGGAAAGATGGACAGAGTCTGCAAAGAACGTGTCTTTAGCACAAGCTTTGAGGTATGTGAAAAGCTTTCTTCTGTGTGCTGCACAGGCCTGGAACTCTCTTCAGCAACTGAGTCAAGTTCTAGGAACTGCCTGGGCTTCATTCCCATGGACCTTGTGACTTTCCAGCAGCAGGCCCACTTTGGGCTGTGCAGAGGCTCTTTCTTCACTCGGTGTACAAATGTCTCCTTCCCATGGATGTGCATGGCATATCCACCTCCTCCAGCCCTTATTCCACTTGGTTTCCTCACACTCATCACCAACTATTTGATTTCTATCTGTCCACTTCACCAGAATATAATGTACATGCATGAAAGGACAGTTTTGTTCACCATTGTACTGTAATGCAATACTTGGCACACGGTGGGCATTTAATAAACACATTTTTTAATAAAGAAGAAGCCAATAGTTTCATTTGGGTAGGATATCGGGATCTCAGCAGTGGCAGATCTGGGGTCAGTATGAGGGAGATGATTATGAAACATTTAAAGAGAGTCTTCTGTGTTTCCTATTGTTGGACACCATAAAATCCACCACCATTTGATGCAGGAGAGATGGTTTCAGTCAGGGGTTCAAAGAAAAGATGACATTTGAGCTGGGTCTTAAAAAACACACAGGAGTTTGCTAGGCAGGAAAGGAAGCAGGAGTATCACAGAGGGAAGAACAGCTAGAAAAGAGGCAAAAAAGCAAAAGAGCCTGGCCCCCTGCAGGGCCAAAAGGCAGCAAGAGGACCATGGAGCTGAGCTCTTTCTCAACTGTTTCTGTTAGACAGTGAGCAATGAAATGGGAAAGTAGCTGTGGCTCGACTGTGAAGAGCCTTTCAGACCTGCCAAGAATTTCCACTTATCTTTTAAAGCCAGGAGAGCTACAGAATTGTTTCTGCAAGGGGAGTTGAGAAGAAGATCCTGGCAAGTGTCTAAGAAAGCATCAGAGCACAGAAAAGAGAGGCCCTAAGACGAGGCGGGACTAAGCCACAGTGGTCTGGTGAGGGAAGACAACCAAGCATAAATTAAAGCTTCCAAGTACAGGGGATAGAAACAAGAGATTCAGATTTAACAAAAAAACGATGAACAACAGGTACACTAAGTCCTCTCAATACACACTGCTGACTAAATGGAGGACTTTGTGTAACACAAAAGCTCTGGCTGTAAGATGTTTGAGTTTTCCCTTATGCACTGCCTGTTTCGTTTTAACATCAGGATATGAAAGGGCAACAAGACATCTTTTTATAACTAGGTCTCATAATGTTTGAAATTCTTTCTATTATTATAATAGAGAAGAGTGAAATGGAGGGGGAAATGCATCTCCTTAACAGAAGACCATTTTCTAAGCAAATGTGTTTTTCAAGATATGCAAATGTTGAGTCTAAATATGCTTGACAGCATTCCTTAATTTAAGCATTTTTAGTGTCAAGAAAAATCATTTAATATACAAGCACTGCCTTTAGAGATACAAAGAAAAAGCAGCAAGGTAAAATAAACTAGACATTTAGCACTTATGGAAAAGAATGCCAAAAACATTAAGAAGTGGAGGTAGATGTGTCTTAAGAACATGAAAGGGGTGTGTGCACATGTGCGTGAGCATGTGCGTGCACATGTGCATGTATGTACATCACATATTAACAAGGTTTTAATCGCTCATATTTCTTCACCAAAGCCTTGAATTTTGTTCTTTTTTTCCCCAACAGAAAAATAATGGTTACCCCAAATGTGTTCTCTTTATGTGACATATAGCTTTAGTAAAAATTAATTCACTATCATCTTTGCTGCCCAGAGCAGCACTGATCAGACTCAAGGCTCAGCTTCTTCTCAAAGTCTCATTTGTCTACCTTTCCTGTAATTCGCTGTGTGCTGCCGTGGCTCCCAGGAGACTAGGACTTACTGCAGAGGTTCTGGAAAGTGTCATTTTTTTTCTGTCTTCTAATACTGAAATCATGGAACAGCTCTTTGAACACCAAGTGATAAATAAATACACAATGGGTTATTAAGAAGTGAGGCCTTGAGGTCTGTGCATGCCCTGCCAAGGTCCCGAGTCACGCAGAAAACGTAGAATCAGCCCGTGCCCTGGCAACAATCCACTGGACCCCCACCCTCGCTCCTCTGTACAGCCACCTGGTTCCACACTACAAAGACGCAGAGGACACCGGACCACCAGACCATGGTACTGATTCCCGCTGCTCCCGGCCCAGAGGTAGGGGCTTCTGAGCCGCTGTCTCACTACTCCTGGTCCACAGGAAGGGGCTTCCCTGCCACCATCCCTCCCGCTGCTCCCAGCCTGGAGGATAGGGCTTTTGGGCCATCTTCTGTCACACTGCTCCTGGCCCAGAGGAAGGGGCTTCACAGCCACCATCCCTCCCACTGCTCCCAGCCCATAGCAAAGGGCTTTTGGGCCACCATCCCTACCACTGCTCCCGGCCCCTGTCCCACCTTTCCCAGCTCAGAGGAGGTAATCCGTGCAGGTGCCAACAGCGCCCCCTGCAGTTGAAATGAGAAAACGCGTAAATAAGTCTCAAAACCAGACTTCCAGATCACCTACAGCAACCCCAAAGGGAAATGAGATGGAACACTCTG